CAACGTGTGCACGGGAGGAGAGCAGATAGAGGAGTCCCGGAACTTGGCACGGCAAATAGCCATTTCTAATGGCTACGAAACTGTAGCTCAGGATAGGTGTAGAGGAAATCGTAGGCCTCTAAACGACAACTCTAGCGATAGAAGGGTCCCGTTTATCCTACCCTTCATCATCTCAAATGATATAAGTACAGCTATAAAACGCTGCTTGAGAAGGGCGTGCTTAGAGAATTCGGTAAGCGTAGTTGAAATACCACCGAGTAATCTTAAGCGCCAACTAGTTCGTAACCGCCTATATGACCGTCTATGTGCAACTCAAAATTGCATAATCTGCCCCAGTGGTAGAGACGGTGATTGCATGAGCTCGGGTATAGTTTATCTGATCTCCTGTAAGACGTGTGGTGACGAATACATTGGCGAAACGGGTAGACCCCTCTGTGTCCGCATGAAAGAACACCTAGAAAACGGAAAACATAAACCAAGGACCCGCATGGCGTTGTGGCGGACGCGTAGCTCAAGGAAAGGTTAAAAGCGAGTTCTATCCCCAACACCGATACTTGCAGCCCGAAATTCTTCCACTGTCTCAGTATCATTGCAATTATGTTTCACATCATACCCTACCATGAAAAAAGTAGGTAGTAAATAAAAGGTGACCAAGTGGTGACCTTTTATGAATTCATCGTTTTCTCTCTCAGCAGTCGCGGGGTTGTTAAACAGCATACGTTTACTTCCATACAATAACACACATGCAACACAATCGTAGCTGACGTTTCGGCAGAATCGCCTTCTTCAGAGCCTGGAAGGTACATTAATACGCAACTCACCAGGTCAAACGCTTCAACTGCACAAACAGACTGCACGATAATTACAAGATCTACGGTTTCTCGGAAAAACCCACCGCTTTTTTCACCTGTCTTCCACTGAGGAAGAACAGCCTCTCAGAGTCGCATATGGTTGACGACTGCACCAGCCCCATCAAGTATCTATACGAAGGTAAGGGGCGAGATGACGCGTGATCTCGGGGCATTCCTCCCTGCTGTTCATTGTGGGATTTTTGGCATTTATCCAAAGCCTCGAGAAGTTTGTATGTTTGTGTTTTGGAATCTTGTGCTGAAGATAGTTACTTTTATTTAAAAATAGTCTCCGCTATGCTTCTGTATCCCACGCGTGCCTAGTGGGGTACCTTGTCTTGCTTTTCGTTTGCCATCTAGGTGTTCTTTTATGCGGATGCACAATGGTCTGCCCGTTTCGCCAATATATTCATCTCCGCAATGATTACAAGAGATCAGGTATACCGTACCTGAACTCATGCAGTCACTGTCCCTGCCGTAAGGGCAAACTACGTATTTTGTTGTTTCACATAGACGGTCATATAGGCGGTTACGAACTAACTGACGACGAAGAGTATTCGGTGGTATTTCAATTATCGCTACCGATACCGATGGACAAATGCTTTGAAGTATTGAACCAGCAGTCAGAGTACATCAATTTCACCTAGGAGAAACCGAGAAAAAACTGGCTTCCTTTTTTAAACGTTCAAATTAACTTATCAAGTAACGGTTACATGCCAAAGTGGTACCGAAAACCAAGCAACAAAAACATCCTGATCATTGCCTTCTTTCTATCCTTCACATACAAAGAGGGCGCTTGTGAAAAACATGTTTTAAACATCCACCTCTGGGTGGACAAGTAGGGAACTAAAGGCATATACTTGCGCGACTTCTCTCCAATGGCTACGAAATTGTAACCCATGAGATAAGTTTAGGAAGGCGGCGCTCCAAAACGAACGGTTTGGGCGAAACAAAGTTCCGTTTATCTTGCCCTACATTAGCGATGAGATAAGTGTAGCATTAAAGCGATGGTTAAGAAGGACAGATCTAAAGTAATCGGCAGCGATAATTGAAATACCACCGAATACTCTTAGTCGTCAGTTAGTTCGTAATAGCCTATATGACCGTCTATGTGAAACACCAAATTGCGTAATTTTCCCTTATGGCAGAGACGCTGATTGCATGAGTTCAGGTTCGATATACCTGATCTCTTGTAATGATTGCGGAAACAAATATATTGGCGAAACGGGTAGACATTTATGTATCCGCATAAAAGAACACCTAGATGGCAAACGAAAAGCAAGACGAAGTACCCCACTAGGCACTCGTGGGATACAAAAGCACAGCGGAGACGATTTTGATATTAAAGTCGCTATCCTGGCACGGGATCCTAAAACACCAACGTGCAAACTCCTCGAGGCTTTTTGTATAAATGCCAAAAATCCTACAATGAGTAGCAGGTAGGAATGCTCCGAGATCACGCATGACCTCACACCTTACCTTCGTATCGATACTTGATTGGGCTGGTACAGTCGTCAACCATATGCGACTCTAAGGGGCTGTTCTTCCTCAGTGGAAAGCAGGTGAAAAAAGCGGTGGGTTTTTTCGAGAAACCGTAGATCTTGTAATTATCGTGCAGATTTTCATCTCTCTGTTTGTGCAATTGAAGCGTTCGACTTAGTAAGTTGTTAAGTTCTCTAAGTCTCCTTGTTTAACAACCTCGCGATTGATGAGAGAGGAAACGATGATTTCATAATCCAATGCCAAGGTTAATAGAAAGTCGATCCTGGGTGGTCTTTTAGTTGCAAAGTTTTTATATAGCTCACAATGAATCTTTGTGTACTGAGCAGGAACGCCTTGGCTGTCTAAGGTTTCCATGACTGTGTCTGTCCAACAGAGTCAAAATCTTGCTTTAAATTGCTGAAAATGAGACAGTTTAGTCTCATACTTCGTTGTTTTGTTATCGTTTAGATTTTGTCCATTCCACTCCTCATGATTGTTTTTCTAAACCCTGCTTGCTCACATGGTTGTCCTTCGTCCTGTGTGCTGTCAATCTTGTTTAGAATGACTTGAGTAAGAGTTTAAAGACGGCAGAGAGCAAGCAGATTGGGCGACCGTTTCCGATATCGTGAAGGTCACCGTTCTTAAACAACAACAATCTTGCTGGTCTTCTATTGAATAGGAATCTGGCATTCTGACAGGTTACACTTGAAGAGCTGAGAAAGTGTGTTGATTTGGGCTGCTGGGAGGTTCATCAAATATTCAGATCTTATCCTGTTAGGACCAGGTATTGTTCGACTCTTCACCGACGAAATTACATGTTGAATTTCGGAAGGAAAATAAGGTGGGATGACATATAAGTCCTACTATATCTCACATTATGGCAGGAGGACGTGGCCATTGTAGAGATTCAGGAGGTGCTCGTGAACGATTTCCTCCATTCATTTTCTGAAAACCGAAAACTGTTCTGTTTGGGGTCAGAGTGGTATCATCTCGGTTTTATAATTGGCAAAGATTCGGTGGGCTTTGCAAATGTTTTTCCCAGCTCGTGCGATTCCACGCCAACTCATCAGTTTGAAGCTTCTGGAGACAAACATTTTTTGTTGACTTTCGAACTCTCAGCTTTCATAGCGCTAATGTGAAGATATTAAATGAACCGATCGTATTCCTCGTCCATGTAATCAAGAACGACATGATCCTAACGGTCGAATAATGAACTGAATAAATCCTATTTATTTATATGATCTTATAAACTGATCTTCTTTTCTTAGGCTGACGCGAGGTTGGTACAGGTCTTCGTTGTCTTTGATGTTGTTGGTCGATGGCTTACGTTTCGGCGACTTCGCCTTCCTCAGAGCCGTAATGTTACGTGTGGGATTCGAAGTCGCCGAAACGTCAGCCATCGATCAATAACATCAAAACAACGACAACGACAACAAAGACCTGTACCAACCTCGCGTCAACCTAAGAAGATCAGTTTATAAGATCATATAAATAAATATATCAACTATCTATGCCGAGGTTTATAGAAAGTCTGTCTTTCGAGTGAATAAATCCTAGTTTATGGTGGTTTTTAGATATCGTGTTTTGAATTTGGTGGCTTTTTCTTCTTTCTGCAAAAAAGAAATTCTTGTGCGAAGGAGGTGATGGTCTGATTCTGTGTAGAACAAAAGCGGGGTAACAGCGGCTTTGGTTAGGCAAAACCTTTGATTTACTATGATGTGGTTATTTCGTTATGGTATTCTCAAAGACTCCCACTCAAGCGTTGAGAATAGGGCTTCTTCAACTGTGATTTACCACGAAAAATCTTGGTCATAAACGAAGATGATTGTCGGTCGGTATTGATCCGCATCTCTCCAAACGTAAACGTCCGATCCTCATTGTTAGCTGTTCCAGTGAAACAATTTTCGTGGCTAAACTCGTATCCACGGAGACAGCAATGCTGCCGCTTTTCTATGCCACATTTTCCGAGAAACGGTTCTTCTGTGTCACAGTCGTCTCTGAACGTCTTACATTTCCCTTGTTGCCTTATATCGAGGACTCCAATGAAAATGAGCGTGCATTACAGGTACAGATCATCGCCCTAGTTCTTTGTGATTCAGGTAGCTTAGAATGGTGCTGAGATCTTAACAGCGTCTCCGTATTCATCCCTACCAAGTGCCGCCGTATCGGGAACTCTTTCGGTGTGAGCCAAATAAGCCCCACTCGCATTACTGTGTTGAGCGCTTGATTTCCATGAACGGCTTGCTAACCTCTGAACGTGGTGCGTAGGTGTTCTCAAGAGCAGATTAGCAGTTTCTTCCAGGGTAAACGGAGTAACTTGTTTGTTGAAGACAACTCCTACCGGCCAACCATATAATTCCGTTTTATTTGATTATAGCCTTTCCGCAGAACACAATCCGCATAGACGAGAACACACCCACGTACGCACGGATGAATACGTCCTCGTATATACAGAAGATGTGTACCAAATCGGAGCAACAGAAACAAGTAGTTGGTCCCATAGATCCACCCGCGTCTTAAGAGAGCAAAAGTCGTTTTTCTTTAGTGATTAGCCTTCTACTCGTTACCTTGAAATTCACCACGTTGCATCGCGATTAAGAAATCCTTTTATGGAAAAAATTCATGATCATTCATGTTTATGATAGTGGATATAATTCACTGTACCTATTGATGTGGAAGGCCTGGTGACTGGGTTATCACCATCCGTCATTGGATTCTTCGGAAACTTCTTCCTATGTGTTCGTAGCAGCGACCACTGCCAGATTAATACTGGGCAGTACGGTTTTTGTTGACTAACGTGGGATGTTCATTCGTCCATCGTTCTGCTGCAAGAACGCTCTTGCAAGTCCGCCTCGATGCTGGATTGCTGACGGTCGAGTATCCTTCCAATGCCCACAATGTCGTGTCTGAATCCTCTACCAAATCCCTGTAGCAGTTCTTTGTTGTCGATGGCAGACTGACTGTTAGCTTGGAACTTATCCAATTGAGAGGATAACGTTACCGATAGATGAGGTTCTAAAAGCTGAGAGTTATGGTGAAGTGTCGTGCTCACTAACTGCTTCATACTCACGATTTATGTTGGGTATATGCGAACCGATATCGGGAAGTGCTCGTAGAAGGACTCTACATTGGTACCGCTATTCGTCTGTTCGTTTTTGCTGGGTTTCTATATAAGCCGGCGTGTTCTCAAAGTACTGAAAGAAACCTAGAGCGTTTCACAGCGATATAAATGGTGTAAGAATGGCTTCAAATAGTAAAAAGGATAAAAGATAAAACTCTCAGCATTGATCAATTCTTTAAGGATGCGCAATGCATTAAATTTCAAAAAGTATCGGTAGGGGTGATAGAATGCACATCCAATCTGTGCAGTGACGTATCGGTCTATCGAGTCGGTGCTGCTATCCTCCCAGACAAGTCTGGCACCAATTTGATAACCCGAAAGGATGCAAGACTTGGTGAGCCTGGCTCGCGGGTACCGATCCCATGTGTACCGCAGGACGCCTGTCACCGCTGCACTACGCGCGCCCTTCAATAGTATGAACTGAATTTTTCAAAGTGTTACACTAAGTTTCTCCAAGGATCATCAAAAGAATTATCTGATAGAAATTTTAGTAAATCCTCTTTCCTCAGCTAAATATGAAATTTGAAGGAAAAACAACATATAAGATTTTAAAGTAAGGTTTGTTTCCCAAAAACGGCAAAAATCACCTTATTCTCATCCACTTTTCCTTTATTTTTAAATAAAAAGTAAGATTGGTGGGTGATAAAAGAGTGAGATTAAATCGGGGGTTAAGGGTATTGATAAGCAAAATGTGCCGGTTCTTTTTCACTTCAATGGATTTTTGGCTTAGGCTCACCACTTCAGTTCGGATCATAAGCTTTTCGATTTCAGCTTTGTATTGGTTTGTGCACTCTATGAACGATATCTGATCACTGTCAGCTCAAGATGCCTCAGATCCTTTCAAAATCATCGTGGTACGGCTTGCGTTCTATCGCTAATGTTGGCATTATTCACCAAAGGCGGTATCTTCTTCGAACTCGACATCTTTCCTGAAGAGAACCAACAGTGTCGGGTTGGTGAGAATAGTCGAGATATGAAATAGTATTTGTGGGCACTTGTAATACAAGAAAACATGTCGAAAAGCTGAAGATGCCTGAAAATTACAAAGCAACAGTAAAATTTTTTTCCTTCCGGCTAGTCGATTATGGAGGAATTTTGGACCGGGAAATATAATAGTGAAGTCAAGATGAACTCGTAAAAATATGCAGGGCTTACAGCAGTAAATTTGAATCACCAGTGGGCATCTCTAAAGTTTCCAAAGTAATTTGCAGCATGTAGCCATCAGAATTTTGAATATCAATCAATTGACGGAGGATTTACGTTTGTTGGAATATGAACAGTTGGATATACTTACTTGATACTTGAATAGTCCGTCCTCACTAGAGTTGTACGGGCTCCAGCATAATCTCCATTTTTGGACATTTGCTGGTCAAGTCAGTGTGGTTCCCTGGAATTCCAAGGTCAGCCTGGTCAAAGTCTACCCCAGCTCTTCACCACCACAGTCAGCCGCAGCCCTTGTGGCTCAGAGGTAGATTTGCCACCACGCGGCTTAGATATTAGGGCAGTGGTGGATCCTGATATCGGCTTACTCTTCATTAGGTTTCCTGACGGAAACGCTGGACTACTTCCCAGCTTGGGAGACTCTGCCAGAGGATGAACTCGCCGCTGTACATCGCAGTCCCACACTCAGACACACCTCCCGGCGACGATGAGGCGATAAACCATTGGGAGGAGAGTCAGATGTATTAACATAGAAAAAGCTGACATACTTATTTTTTGTTGCCGAGCCGAAGTTAAGATAAAGTTTTTTGTTTGTTTTTCATTTATGGATAGTTTGAAATAGAATGGTTTTTTCAGAATACTGTAAATGAATACTATGTGGATATGACGCCGATAAACTCGAATCTACTTTATGGTACTATTTATCGATTTTGGTTACGAAATATCGTTACCGTATTCGTGCCATTCACTTTGTTGACACTCATTAACTTTCGAACGTTACTGAAATTAAAGGCACAGTTGAATAACACAAGAGATCAGCATGGACAACGATTTTCAGTTCGTCATAAAAGCAAGGTGAGTGTGACTGATAGAAATTATCCACTTCTTCGACTTGTCTCTTTGGAATATTTTAATGTGCTATTTCGTTGGTATGCAAAGAATGAATTCATGAGAAAAGTCAGAAAAGTAATCGAGCTCTGCCCATGCAGTGGTGGCTACCGTATCCGCCGTTGACGAAGGCATTTCCTACTCGCTTCACAGAAAAATCCGTTTCGAAGTGGTCGTTAGGAAAGACTTCTTTGCGAATTTTATAAGAGCCCTGATAGAAAATTTGAGAAAAACATTACTACTTCGGACTGCATAAAAAGCAAAATGTCATTAGCTATCGCTTTGACGGTTTCATATTTCCTGACGGCAACCGATTGGTTAAAGTTTAACTGTACCTAAGAACATAAGACAGATGAGTATCGCATCGGTTAAATTATAGTAATACGATAATATGGCATGGAGTTGTACAGCGCAGTGACTACGGGTGTCCTGCAATGCACACGTGGTTGTTGGTTCGATCCCGCACTCCAGAGAAACCATTTCCTTCATCCCTCCACGGTCGGAAGGTAGGTACCGTCAGACTGGGTTTGTCTGACAGAATGAAAAACTGACGTGAGACACCGACAGACGACCGCTGGACGCCAAAAATGCAAAAAAATTGACCCGATCAATGCAACGAACTTTATTCCACATGCTTTTAAAGCGTAAAACACATAGTAACAGCTCCAGGTTCGAAATTCCTTCACAAACATAACTACTGCTTTCTGCACAATGTGACCAAGTCTAGGTTTTTGATATTCTTCACCAAGGATTCCTCTCTTGCCTTTGTTAACGTGATTTTTTCAGTGATTTTTCTTCGTATCTAAAAATAGTGGCAATCCAACAACACATTTCTCTTGAACCTACTAAAAATTTACTCCGTAAACCAGTTTGTTCCATTTCAATTTAACACATTCACAAGCATGCGGCGTTTTCGATTACAGGCAATAATTTTTTCCGACAACAAAAGTACTTCTTGAAGACTTGATAGGCTTTGTCGTTGAGTTTTTGGAGAAGAGATAAATAAAAGGGTAAAGCTGTCAGCTTTGGCCAATACCTGAGGAATGCACCATGCACTCGACTTCATTAAGCATCGTTTCGAGGTAATTGAATACACACCTGGCCTTTACTGACTCACGGTGGCCTGCCTATATATCAAGTCAGCGAAGTTCTCCTTCCAGACAAGTCTGATACCAATTTGCTGCCTCCGGAGGGATGGAAAGCTTGGTGGGCCATGGGGCGAGAGCGATCGCATGTGAGCATCGAGTCCTCGATAGAGTGTTTATCTCACTTGCTCATGCAAAAAGGATAAGGTACGACTTCATCGGCCTGGTAGAGACGAGGCGACGCCACCCATTCAATGCCATCTATGACACCGGAGAAGAACTGTTCCTCGGAACATGCAATAGTAGAGGAGCCGGCGGCGTCGGCGTTCTCGTCAATTAGAGTTTGTCCATGAACATCATTCATTCATTCATTCGAACAGCTTACAACACGAATCGGACGTTTATGATTAAAAAGATGTGGATCAATACCGGTTTTGACAATATTCGTTGTTTACGCGCCGACATCAAACTAGGACGAAGAAGAAGTCGAAGCGTTCTATGTGAACTTGGAGAAGTTCTACAGACAAGACCACACATTCTTCAAGGTCATCATTGAAGATTTCAACGCCAAGACTGGACCAAGAAGAACATCTGGAGAGCGTCACATTGGGACCCACGGATTGGAATGGAACGAACAGAGTGAGCGGTTGTCTGAGTTTATCATGGCGACCAAGACCATCCATGGTAGCTCGCAATTCCAGGAGCCCCACTCTCAACGTTGGACGTGGGAGTCTCCCAATGGATAGTACCATAACGAAGTAGACACCACATCATAGTAAATAGAAGGCTTTGCCTAACCGTTGTCGTTGTTGTCCCAAAATTCTACACGGGATCAGACCACCGCCTCCTTCGTGCAAGATTCTTTTTCTCACGGAAAGGAGAAAATAGCCGCTAAATTCAAAAACCGAAGTCCCAGAACCACCGTAAACTGCGACTTATTCAATTCATTAGTGGGCTGTTGGGATGATGCCGTTGTAGATAACATCGACGAAGAATACGATCGGCTCATTCAACATCTTCAAGTTAGCGCTATAAAAGCTGAGCGTTCGAAAGTCACTAAGAGACGTCTGCCTCCAGAAACACTCGAGTTGATACGCCAGCGTGGAATCGCGCAAGCTGCAGACAACCGTAAACTAACGTCCGAACTTGCAAAACAATGCAGAGAAGCAATAAAAAAAGATCTTAGAGAGAGAAGAGCAACAGTAATGGTCGAAGCTGTAGAGGCTGGGAAAAGCATTCGCAAAGCCCACCGAAGCTTCGCCAATTACAAAACTATGATGATTGCACTTCGACGTCCAGACGGTACAGCTACAGCGTCCAGAAAGACAATAGAGAAAATCATTCACGAAGACTACTCAGATCTTTTTGATAGCCACGTCCACCTTCCGTCATATGAAATACAGGAGGATGGATATGTTGTACAACCTGTTCTTCCTTCCGAAATCCGACATACCATTTCGTCGGTGAAAAATCGAACAGCAGCAGGTCCGGGCAGGATGAGACCAGAACACCTGAAGAACTTTCCACCAGTCCTTGCAAACACACTGGCTCGGCTCTTCACACGTTCCTGTCGGAATCCAAGGTGCCTGCTCAGTGGAAGACCAGCACGGCCGTGTTATTTTTCAAGAAGGGTGACCAACACGATATCGGCAACTATCGCCCAGTCTGCTTGCTGTCTGTTGTCTACAAACTTTCCACTCGAGGATTGACATCCTAAACAGTATCATTGAAATTGAAGTATCACGAGAGTACAAAAGACAGCTCTGTCTTGCTTTCATCAATTTACAGAAGGCCTTTGATTCAACTGAGGTAGAAGCAGTCATGAAAGTCCTTGATAGTTAAGGATTCCCTACTCAATACATAAAGAGTCTTCGTGAGCTGTGCAGAAGTTTCACAAGCAAGATATCACCATTCTACAACGATATTAACATTGACGTCAAAAGAGGAGTTAAGTAAAGCGATGCCATCACGTCAAAATAACTTCCTGGTACATTCTGAAACGTTATGAGAACAATGGGATGGACAACATCAGAGTGAAAATCGATGGTCGGCAATTATACCATCTTCGCTTTGCTGATGACATTGTCCTTATAACACCAAATATTAGACAAGCGGAACATATGTTTGCCGACTTTGATAAAGTCTGTGGAAAGATTGCTCTTCGACTAGATCTCACAAAAACGATGCTCATGAAGAATGGATTCGTTTCGCATACTAGTGCGCTCAACGGAACGAATATCTCCGAATGCTCGAGTTATATCTATCTAGGTCATGAAATCAATACGATGAACGACCTAGCTCTAGAGCTGAGCAGAGGGAAACGAGCGGCTTGGGGAGCTTTCAAGAGCATCGGGGATGTCGTGAAGAGAAGGAAAAACACCCGCCTTCGTGCCCACCTTTTCGACTCAACGGAACTTCCTGCCGTAACGTATGCGTCAGAAACTTGGTCGCTGCAAAGGCAGGGTGAAAGGTCAATCAAGGTTATCGAACGAGCAGTCGAAAGGATGATGTCAGGAGTATCCCATTCCACACAAGCAACGGAAGGGATCCGAAGCTCCGAGCTACGTCAACGATCAAAAATCAAAGATGCCGTTTTGTATTCCGAACAGTTGAAGATAAGGTGGGTCGGACACGCACTGCGTATGAACGACAACCGATGGACAGGAGCCGTTAGTGACTGGATTCCTCTGGATGTCAAACGTACTGCAGGAAGACCATCGACCTGGTGGTCTGAGTTCTTCGCGAAGAGCCTTGGAAGAAGATACGTTGCTCGAGGAATCCCTAGAGTGAGCAGGACCCACCGGGCCACTCTTGCACGCAACAGGGAAATATGGAAGATTTATTAGCGCACACTCGAGTCGCTCGATGATCAACTAGACTACAGGTGACAGGTGATACAGGTGATGTATATGTATATGTATATGTATATGTATATGTATATGTATATGTAAATGCATATATGTAGACGTATATACTTACTTTGATACTTGGTCTGCTCGTCTTCACTGGTTGTGCAGGGCCCATCATAATTTGCATTCTTCGGAGATTTGCTGGCTTAGCCATTATGGTTTCTTGTAGTGCCGAGGACAGCCTGAGCAAAGTGTGCCCCAGGTCGTCACCACCACAAGCAGTCGCCACCCTTGTGGATCAGAAGGAGATTTGCCACCATGCAACTGGTTTGTTGCCAAGACGGTGATGAATCGTGGAATTGACTTACCTTACCTGGCTTTCCGGATGGAAACATCAGACTCTTTCTCAGCTTAGGAGACGTCGTTGATCAATACCCCTACTGTACATCGCAGCCCGAAATCCAGGAGCACTTCCCAGTCGCGATGAGGCTGTGAACTGTTGGAAGGATATATATATATATATATATATATATATATGTAAACATATATATAAATATGTATATATACATATATATACGTATATATACATATATACCTATATATAACTGACGAAATAGCTGTTCCATCTCGAAATGTGCTTTAAGAATAGAAAACGTTAAGAAATAAACAATTCCTCAGCTTCGGAAATCAGAAATTCGTCTTGGTCGGGGAAACTTTCTTATCTTATTGATAATGATGTGCAGATTGCAATGCTTTCATTGTAATCTATGAAGTTCATCATGCTGAGAAGGAGCCTGATGTTTCTATCCGGAAAGCATCAATACAATAGAGCAAATGTGAAAGGCTAGACTATTTTCTTGCGCGCACGCGTTGAAATCGGTGCACATTGACGTCAGTGTTCTGATCTGTCTTCTCTCTGGACAGAAAGTCACGAGAATTCATTCATTTGCAAATTTCGCCGCTTTGAACTTTCTTTTTCGACCACTTGGACATACTTGAACACGGACGGTCCGTTCTTACTGGCTGTGCGGACTCCAGCGCATAATCTCCATTTTTCGATGTTTTTCTGGTTTAACCATTGTGGTGGTTCCCTGGAGTCGCAAGGTCAGCCTGGCCTAAGTCTGCCCAGATCGTTGCCACTACAGGTGTAATCTCCGCCCTTATGGATCAGTGGGGGATTTGCCAACAGGCGACTAGTTTGATACCAGGACGGTGGTGGATCCTGCTATTGGTTTACTCTTAGCTAGGCTCCCAGATGGAAGCGCCGGACTCCTCCTCAGCTTGGGAGACCATGCCCACAGCCTTTTTCGACCAATATTCTAGAAATCGACGCTGCGAAATCTACGAAATTCTATGCTGCCAGCAGTTACTAAGGCAAATTTTCTAAATTTTCCGCAACCATCGTATTCGACTTCTGGAAATGTTAGATTATTCCATCACTTCCATGTTCAAACTGGTCAGAATGTTCCGTTCCGAAGCACACTGCTCTTGTAATTTCCTCATCTCTACTGAGGACCATTAACGTGCTGTTTCACAAATAATTGCCTTCTACTTGACTTCAAATGCAGTAGATAAATAGGTACTCTATGAATTTTTGTTCCGTGGAGAAGTGAATATTTATCTTTCACAGTGATACATGAAATGCATCCTTCGGGAAAAATTATAAGACTTCGCTCATTATCGTTACGCCGTCACCTTCCGAAATCTGTTCAAAATCCGATCGAGGAAGCGTATTCTGGCATCCAGTCCGTTTAAAATAATTTCGTTGTTATTCATCGTCGCAAAGGAAAGTTATACCGGCTTTCGAAATCTTAAACGCCTGTGCTTAAGAAAGTCCACATAAACTTCGCCGGTGGTCCTCATGGGATTTCCTTCAAAGACGTCGGGAAGATGGGACTAAGTGAAATGGTGTTTCGGGCGCAGTTTATGTTTTTGAAATAGCTTTCAAAATCGCCTCATGTATTTTAACTGTTCAGCAACTCATATGATTCGGTTATGATTTCAACTTTCAAAGCTAATTAGGAAACATGTCTTTATATTGATGAGCTTTGTTAGTTGTGCTTATTGGGTTAACGTTTCGACGTCTTCGTTTTCATCAGAGCCGACGATACTCAATAACATACATCATACCCAACAACAACCGTCCAATATAAAATCTCCGGGTGAGTATGGCTCATTCGAGATTATCAACTGAGGAAGATCCGGTTCGATGCGAGACAAAGACGCCACATCGAAAAGAGGAGCAACTGTGAACCATCGATAAGTATCGTCGGCTCTGATGAAGACGAAGAGGTCGGAACGTTAGCCGAATAAACATCTCTAACAACCTCGTGTAAGCTCAACGATATAAACACGTGTTGATTATAATAGTACCGAGGTTAAATAACGGTCGATTTCAAAATTAATTAGGAAAGTCTATAAGTTTTTATGTGCGTAACATGAGGAACGGAATTTAAGATGTTTCGTTCAGCGTTTTTCTTTCCCTCTCATTTCCGTTTGCTAATACACAGTATCATCAAATCCGATGGACTACCGACATCCGGTCGTGCGGATCGGGAAATAAATTGTGAAGGGAGACATACGTTCAGTGAATAACTTTTCATCGTTTTTTCTATTTTCTGGTGCTATCCATGATCTGCAATTATAAGTGATATAGATCAGGTGCTTACCTAATTACTTCCTTATTTGGATACTTGGATGGCTCGCCTTCACTGGCTGCACCGGGGCAGCATAATTTTTATCATCCGAAAGTTCGCTGGTTTAGCCACCATAGTTCACTGGAGACCGGTGGTCAGCCTAACTAAAGCCTTCCTCAGGCCGTCAGCACCCCGGCGCACGTCGCCTTTGTGGATTTGTGTTACATTTTCCACCATACGACTAGCTTGAAGAACGGTGGTAGATCGTGGTGTTGACTTACTTCTATCTAGGCTTCCGAATGGGAACCTCGAACTCCTTGGGCGACCCTTGGTAGTGAACCCGCTGCCGTACATCGCAACCCGACACCCAGGAACATCCATCCAAGCTGGGATGGGATCGTGAACTTTTGGGAGCAATAGGAGTCAGATACGAAGAAAAAATTAGCAACAGTGCGTCATCCTACCAGATACGTCCTTTATGTGAAGGAATTTTACGACCACACACAAACAAGGAATTTTCGGTGAATAACGGTAACGGGAAGTCTGAAAAGCACAAGGCAGCGCGATACTGGTATACTCGACCAGTTGGAGAAAGAACGGTAGTCAGTGGTTATTTTTGATGCTTAAGTTGATGAAAGGGCTTGTGTATAGCGTTGTTGGAGGTGACCTCGGATGCACGTGGTTGCTGCCTGTTTAAATCTGCTGCCCTGGACTAACTAAGCACTCCATCCATTCGGGGTCGATAAATTGCAAGCAGATTTGTCCGAAGTGATAAAAACAAAGATCTTACACATCCCTAGGCCACCGTAGGTCGTTCTACACTGCAGACATACATTCAACCATCTCTGTAATTCCACGAAAGAGGTCGAAGGCTTGACACATTTTTCGGGAATAGATCGACGCTGAAAGCCTTATGCTTTTACCCTTGGCTCGATGTTGCACTACTCGAGCGCGCCTAATGAAACATTGTATCAAATTGGCGAGATTGATGAAACTACATTTCCACCGACAACAATCACTACTAATACGGTAGTCGGTCTCGATCTCCTGGTCCCCGACTTCCGATGCGATCGCTGATTATGTAGACTTTTTTAAAGGAAAGACGTTCTAGGTTTTCTCTTTTGCTTTGATTCCGTAAAACTAGGTGTTGCTAATCGAAATTACAACTTCTGTTTTCTTCATTTTCTTTAAGAGGAAGAAAACCAGAATTACATTGCTTCAAGCCAGTTTCAATACCTCAAGTTTTGAAATTCACTGTATTAATGCAACAACGAAAGAAATGAACTAACTTTTACTTTTCACTTTGCATTTGCACAGCTATCATTATATCATTGGAATATTTTCCAATTATAACAATACTGAAACGACTGCAAGAATTACACAGTTGTATTTCTACTACGCTGGCGCGTATGGCGTAGTGGTAGAAGGCGCTCTGCAACACGCACGTGGGAGCGATCCCCGCACCCATGGTTCACCAAGCCTTCCATCACTTCGGGATCGACAAATTGGTAGCAGACTTGTCTAGGAGAATAGCAACACTCCCTCGATACATCGGTATGCCACCGCGAGTCATTGTAAAGGCTAGATATGCATTCAATCACTTCCAAATGATGCTTAATGAAGTCGAATGCATGGCGCATCCCTCAGGGGTTGATGAACGCCGAAAAATTTTTTTATTTATGCAGTAGATTTGCGACTTTATTTAGGTTTAAGGAAAAAAACTGGCTACAATTCTAATTTGATCGTACTTCAGAATAAAGTTCGTTCGGCGACATGGACTCTGCTTCTCGTATGTCTCCTCTACCTTCTGTCAAATTTACCGAATGTTATTGTGACCGCTTGGGAATTCATCGACATGCAAACGCTGCAGACCAAGTGGGTTTTTTCAACAATGATGAAATTACATTCTAATGAATAGGCTATTGTTTAAAAATTCCTCCAATACGTGAATACTTTGACGTTCTTAATAATTCAGTCTTTTTATGATATGTTGAGAGGGAATATAGTTTGAGCGAGCTTGGGTAGATCGACAACGTTCGATTTCTGTACATCACCTGTATGACCAGTAAGTCCCGTTGATCGTCGAGTGACTCGAGCGGGAACTGGTAAATCCAAGTTAATTTCTGTGCATAATAATGATAATACGGTAGTGACTTCATGTGAAAAACTGAAAGGATAAAGCGCTCAGAATTGACTAACTCCTTAGGGATGCAACTGTCAGTTTGCTGATCGCGGATAGATGGGAGGCTTGGTTAGCCACGATATGGAACTGAGATTACCACGTGTGTATTTCAGGACATTTCTAACCATTACACTACACGCGTTCACTTTCATCGTAATTCCTTGTATCACGTGTAATCC